AGTTCCCACAATGGGGAGGGCGACCATAAAATTAGGGATGCTGTGATTTTTCATCGTCTTTTTATATTCATTATAACATCAAACAACATTGGAGTAGAGGACTTTCAAAGCCCGTATTCGAGGATGGTTTCAAAGGAAGTTCCGCTTGTTTCTGTATATTCGTTTAGGGTTGCTCATTAATGGCAAAAACGGATTTTAAAGTTCTTTAATCAGGTTAGCAAAACGACAAAAACCTATTAGAAAATTAGGCAAATAATCGGTTTGGTTTTTTCAGCTTTAGAATACGTAATAAAAAATTATGAAACAAATTATTCGCGTGCGAGTCTAAATATATTTTCCATTAAACAAAATAAATAATGAAAAGAAAGTCAAATAATTTAATTTTGTTTGCGCACACAGAGAGAGACAGAACTTTAGAAACGTTTTCGTTACTTTTCATACCGCCAATCCATTTGAATTTAGACTCTGCTAATTTAGTTGCAGTCACAACACAAACCACAAAGAGGAAAGTAGATTCAGTAATGTATTTTTTGGAATTAGTTAATTTATTTATTATTTTACTATACAAACAGGATGTGTCAGATCTCGCGACCAAGAGAAAAATTCCAATAAAAGCCACAAATAACTTTAAGCAGAGTTACAATTTAGGATACAGCTTCCTTGTTTCCACTTCTAATCACATGTAGCAAAAAAACTTGGAAAATTGTTTTTCCAACAGAAATAAATAGAGTCAATGTTCCTGGTATCTTACCATACAGGGCATTTTTCCCTGAGACGCAAGTTCTGGCACACCCCTGTATAATGAAAATTTACGATATTCTTAATTACGTTTTTTTTTTGTAAGTTTTCAAAAGCCGCAAATGTAATAGCTTTTCAAAACTTCTAGTAAATACCTGGAAACTCAGTTCAACGAGATAATTAATGACCTGGAACAACCAGCATCAAACTGCTGTTGCGTGTTTTCAGAGGAAATGCATTTTGACTGATAATGAGCGGAAACAACAAAGCTTTAGTTTGCATTACATCAAAAACATTTCAGTCTGAAGCGTTGGTGCAGTTTTTATTAGTTGATTAATTTTCCCTCGCTATAACGTAATAAACCAAAAAGTTCTATTCCTTCTTTTTGTGATTATAATTGAAAGTTCCTGTTTAAATTTTTTTGCTCTTAAAATGTAAAAAAAACAATACCAACTTGGCCGAATAATGTAGAACAATGCGTATTAGAATTTCCACACCCTGATACTTTGTTCCTATCATGATTCCGGTTGTCGCGCCCCTAAAGGAAGGGCTGTGGCATTAAGGGTAATTTACTCGGCGATCATAGAGCTGTGAATTCAAATTGCTAGAGACTCAGAAAAGGTCTTTTCTAAAGTTTTGCGGTTCAACTTTACTGTATCTAATGTTGTGCAGAAAATGTGATCGACATGATGACAGAATAGTAAATAGTGAAAACACTGGAATTATGAGTTTATTGTGTGGGAGGGAAGTGCAAAATGAAGAGGTTTTCTTAAAAATCATTACAATGCTTTTCTTGGTGAATCTCATGAATAATGGAACATCGCAATGTGAGCTCTCACTATCGATCGATTGATTATTATTGCTTAAAATATTCAACGCGCAACATAATTCGGTTCCTACTACCAATAAAAAATGTTAGTGATTTTAAATAATAATATTCAAAAAACTACAATCTGTGAGATTTTGCGTTTGTAGTCGTCGCACTGTAAATTCCCATTATTAGGTGCTGACAATGTAAACTTAGTCCCAGCTTGTCATCGATGGACTTATAAATTGATTCCTGATAAGTTCTCTTTGTCATTTTCTCACCGCATCGCTTTTTATCCCTTTTTCCTTCGCATTATATCTGTATGGTCAATCTCTTGAAAACCAGCCGGGGCGTATCGATCCTGACAAATTCGGTTAAGTAGTAAAGCTTAAATACAAGTCTTTTTTTCCCTGTTAAATTTCCATGCCGTCAACGATTTTGTTAAGTCAAGCTTAAATAGTGTTTTTTATGAGTTCGCTTCTTTTAAAACGACCGCAGCAGCCGTGTGGCGTTAACTGATAAGACGTGATATGTTTACAAAGTTTGCAAGCAAAATATCAAAAAAGTTTAATAACACGAGTGCTTTGCTTTTGTTGGACCACTAATGGTAAAAAGCCAGTAACGAGTAGAGCAATCGAAGCTGATAAGAGAACCATCCTCCATCAAAATATTGTCACAAAAGCGTTCACAGGAAATAGATATATAAAAATTTATTTGATTCGTTATTTCAATTTTCGCGGTGTTTCCCAAGCAGTCCGATGAAATAATTTTGATACCATGACATGATATTTACTGACAAGAGAAACAAGGTAAATAATTTGACTAGGGTCACAAGAAGATCATAATAGAGTCAGAAGCGACACATTCATAAATCTCAAAGCCGTTTCTTGTTACAAAGTAATTATAAATGTTCATAGGAGTGGCTAACTCGAAATACATCTATTTCATCTTCGTCCAACACAATCGTTTATTACATGTTGAAACAAAAACAGAACATATCTAACTTTACACCCTGACCTAACCACATTAATATCATAAACACGCCATTATGTAATTTACACAGTTATTTTAGAGCAAACACCCATAAAAAAATATCAAACAGATTCCGTGCAACAACTTTAATAACTTTATGGTTTATGTATAAGACAGGTCAGTGACTAGTAACGTGTTATTTACATAGTTTTTTACATTTCTAGTTAGTGTACATTTTGGTTCGATAAATTGTAACAAATTTTGCTATTAAAAAAATTTTTTTTCAAAAATTCTACAATAAAAAGTGGTACATAATCAACAGAAAAAAACTCGCATTCCTCTATAATCAAGTGTTAATTAATGTTCTATCTAAATAAAGCATTTTGCAATAGTTACCAGAGAACAGCAGATTTCACAAATTAAGTTTTTTTTAGTTTCAGTTAATTTCAAATTGCAGAAAATATTAAAAAAATATTTTATTTTGTGGTGTAGTAATTTCTGTGTTGTTAAATACTGTATTTAAAATTTCTACAACGGGCTTACATGCACTAAAACTAAAAATATTGCTGCTAATCATTGCAATTAGCATCCTTTAGATGTTACTGTATAAACTTGTGGTCATTACTTCGCCATATCTGATGAAGCCCATTTTGTCGAAAGCACGCAACAATTTAGTTTGAAGTTTGAGCCATTAATTGAAAGCTTAATCAGGCTTTCAATGTATTTCTCAGCGATAAAATCGTTAAGAAACTTTGCAAAAATGAGCAAAATGAGTGAAAACAAGTTGAAGGGTGGCTCTGATTACTGATGACCACGAAAAACATTTAATTAGCGGAAACTTTTCTTTGAGCGATAAGAAATCTCCTTTTTCATGGCACGATTTTAAAGGAAGCCGCCATAAAGCTCCCGCCTTTGATGAAACCACCCCAATCCTTCTAATTTCAATTGTGAACCATCTCCCACGTTCCAGAACTTGGATCGTTCATCCCCCTTTCACATGATTGAAAAGGAGACAACTACAAAGCGATCTCAAAGCTCCATCAATAACGTTCGGTGTGATGAAAAATGATTTGTTTACTGCGGAAAAACGTTTCACATTGTTGAATGTTGGCTTGGTATGACGGCAACAATCTAGAGTTATTTACCGAAGAAAGCGGTAATTGCACACCCGCATTTCCAAACTAAATTAACCGTAAAACAAAGCAGTCCCGACTGTGATTACATCAAAGCAACACCGCCTGGGTGTAAAAATGATGATCCAATCATCCAAAATCTAGATTAAATGCAAATAACTTGGTTCGTTCAAGAAGCGCACGTTTTGTCGATGGCCCCGTCGGCGGGCAAGGGGCTGCATTTAAATTCAATTTATATTTAGATCAGGGAAGGTTGTGCCACTATCGGTTAAGTTTATTCATTTTCAATAGTTGGAAATTAGAAATGCATTAAACTGAAAACAATGGGAATAAGAAATTTAATAGAGTCTCACAGAAAATGGAACTGCGCCATTGTGTAGATTCTCGGAATTTTTAATCTATTAAACTCCCACTACTTTAATCTAATATCTGTCATTTACAGCAAATAGGTAAAAAGAATAGTATCTAATTTCATACTTCAAGCTTAATGTGAATCCAATAATAGAGAAAGACTACGAAAACTGAATACGAGTACTTATCTAGAAATACCTATAAGAGCTAAAGCACATTACAATGAAATTGACCTTCTCGAATAGGAAGTTATTTCGAGAAAATCTCAGTTTTGTGGATTGGTTTGTTTGCTTTTGTCATCTTCTAACATCACAATCTCTTGTGTGTTGTCAAGTACACATCATTTTTTGATAACCCGACATTACTTGTTTAAAAAAACAAATTCGATAATAAAAATTGATAGAATTTTCCAAATTTTCACTGGGTTGATACGTTAAAAGAATACAAATTAAAATAATAAAAATCTTATTTGGACAAAGAAACTTTTACATCAACTATTTCCCTTATTATGAAACTTTATGACATTTTTTCTAATTACTTTCGATTTTCATGCCCTAGTTACACCACTTTATAAATACATATAAGCAAACGAAGAAGTTAATACTTATTGATTTTAAAATAATTACACAAATTTAAAACCAATAAAATACATAACATCCTTGTGACATTGGTTTTTATTATTTTTCATTTGCCTGAAACACAATTTAACCAAAAAGTCCATTACTCTTAGCCCACCCGGTACCAATATCCAACAAACATTAAATTTTCATGCAAAATTAGTCTGGAAAGCTATATTTTCCACGCAACAAAATGTTTGATTTTAACTTTAAAACCATCAAAGTTCGCCAGTTCGTGCCAGTTTATGATGTTAACAGGTCACGATCGTGCACACACGCCCAAGAGAATAAAAGACCTTGCAACCGATAACATCAATTTTTAAGCATAATTAAAAAAGTTCACAACCAAGGAACCACAATAAATGTACTCTTTTGTTTCAGGAGTTCCATGCAAGCGCGCTGTGAGCACTTCAGGTGATCCTTGCAACGGCATGGCGGGTAGGTGGCGCCACCTGCATCCGGGTCCGCTTCCACTCCGGCATCGCTAGCGGCCCGGACCCGGCATGTTCCGTACCAGGGACAGCACCTCTGCTATGATCATCTTCAGCGACTCCAACGATGACATGGGAATCGTGTTCACGCTGGAGGGTCTCACCCAAGCGGGCATCATCTTCATCATCGCCATCGCCATCATTGTCACCAACATACTCATCATTGCAACCTTCCTCAATTTCAGAGGTAGGTATGCGTGTCGCAGAGCAGTTTGCGAGAAAAACAGTAAAGACGTATTTTTGGCGAAATAAGTGACTGTAAAAAGTTAAGACAGGACAGGAAGCGAGACATGTTTTATTTATGAGCATTTTTGATGGGTTCGTGGAGAAAGTGAGAGCGTAAGTGTAGTCATCTGATGATTAACTTTGTTTCTTTCGCGTTCTAAGAAATTGGGATTAGGCAAAGATAAATAAGAAAATAAAAATAGAACAATTTACGACTGACATTCGATATAAAAATTATAGCCACTTTCGAATCACCGCGTAATTCAAACAGTAACCTTCAATAAAAAACTTCTTTTCATTTATTTATTTTCTGATAAAAATAACATAAACACAAATAACGGATCCAACAAAATTGGAAGGTTTTTAGACCGACAACTGCACCATCACAAAGCTCGTGCATGGAGATATTCACTTCATTAAAAATTTAAAGACTTATACCGTCGTTCGTACTGAAGTAAATAATTCCCGTTGCAAAGAACCCTTCTAATAAAGCTGAGTAAAAATTAACCCGAAGCTTCAAGGGCCTAAATAAACACACTCCTACTAATTGCAAGTTAGTTTATTTACGACATTAAGGCTCTCATAAATTCGGAGCTTCCGAAAAAATTCAGCTTATGTAGAGTTAGCAAAAATTGAAATTCTGCTAAATAAGGATGTTAAATATGTAGGACAGAGCATATGTAGGGGTTGATTTATGAAGCACGTGACATACGAGTATATATGACACAAGAATTTGATGGCTGTAGGTGCTAAAATACAACTAAAAAGTGTTATGTATCTTCATAGCATTAAAGAGTTTGTATTTAAAAAAGGTTAATTTTTTAGAAACATAAAAGCATTGTTTAAAAAATACTTGCTGAAGATTTTTATGTAATAATCTACTTTAGTACTCTATAAATACCAAACTACATAAATTATGTAATTACATAACTTGTGAATAAAACTACTCTACAGAGTGGTTCGTTTTTCGAGCTCCACCATAGGGATCTTAATTATTATAAGATACGAGGTCGGTTAAATTAGCGCAGAGTTGCGCATTTTTATGCTGAACAATAATCTGAAAAAAAATTTAATGGGTTATTTTTAGTTTTTGAATTATTGGAAAAACACGGAAATTTGTAATTTACGTTTTTATTTTTTCAAACGAAAACTAAGACAGACATTTTTAACTAGGACGTTCTGCAGGCACTTTTTTACAAAGAATCTAAATATGTCATCGTATTTTCCAAGGCGCTCTTGATATCAGAGTTACAACACTCAATTTTGGATTTTTTATAGACGATATACAGGGTGTTTACAGTCTTGGAGTTGAAAATTGACCTAGTAATAGAAGAGTACAGAAATACTGTAACCGAGAAAAAAACTCACACAATTGTTATTATCGAGAATGTTATTTAACTCCAAAATATTGGTACACGGTTTGAGGGTCACTGGAATTATTTCCTTGTTCAGATAAAATTGTATTGTTGCAACAGATAAAAAAATCGTATCCATGACAATGAAAGAGAAAAGTCACTTCATAGTCATTTCTTAGTTTTGACACTGTCATCATTTGATTTGCTTTTGCTTTAGTTTTAATCAAAATTCGAAGATCTTCTGTTTAATCTCTTTCAGCGAATGGTTTCCAATAGGTTTGATTCGTTTTTCTTAATTTTTCTCCAAATCTATGAAGATGTATGGTAAAATATTAAAATAATAAATTGGTTGTCGTGATTATGATTTACGGTGAAACACAAGGTAATGATACTAATGGCCATTGTTGCAGCCGAAGCAGCAGTTCTCAGACAAATAGTGTAAAACGAATAATTTCCTTTAACGTGAATTTTTGTTTTATATAACGTATTAGTTTTCTTCTACCGTAAATATCCTTTCATTTAAATTTCAACTTCAATACCGTAAACACCCTGTATTTGATTTCTGTATTTTTGGAAAGCCTTTTTGTTCCTGATTACAACGATGTAACAAACGATGTGGTCAAATTTTACATGCTGATCAAAATTTTAAAATGGCGTTTTTTTGGAAGAGTGTTTTTGGAAAAAAACGCCAACGATTTTAATTAACAAACTAATTGAATTAGAACAGAGAAACTATCGGTGGCGTTGTGGTGTAGCGGCACAAGGTCCTGCTTTCCGGCAAGTTCAAATAAATAAAATAAAATAAGAGCAAAGCATAAGAAAGAGAAAAAGAGTAATAAAGCAGAACCTAAAAATAAAGTTCTTTGCTTCCAACTTTCCAACAATTCCCCAAAAAAAAAAACGCCATCTTGCGACAAAAATGATTAAATTAACATTTTACACATGTGTGAAAGCGCTTAAGCTATCACGTTTTAGTAAGGTATACTACTAAAAAGTTCGTATTGCAGGCCCATCGGAGGTGATCAACTGCTACTTGCTGTCTTTGGCCGTAGCGGACCTGCTGTGTGGTCTCCTCGTGGTCCCACTCTCCGTGTACCCAGCCGTAGTGCGCGAGTGGGTCTACGGCGACATCGTCTGTCGCCTCGTGGGCTACCTGGAGGTGACCCTGTGGGCCGTGACTGTGTACACGTTCATGTGGATAAGCGTGGACCGCTACTTGGCCGTTCGCAAGCCCCTCCGTTACGAGACTCTCCAAACCAAGACTCGGTGCCAGTGCTGGATGGCATTCACGTGGATCTCGGCGGCTATGCTGTGCTGTCCCCCGCTGTTGGGCTTTAACCAGCCCGTCTTCGACAAGGACGCTTACATCTGCATGCTGGACTGGGGCAGCATGGCGGCGTACTCCGTCACGCTGTCCATCCTGGTGCTGGGGCCCAGCCTCATCACCATTGTGTACACCTACACATACATCTTCAACATGCTGAGGAAGCTGAGGAGCGGACACCCCTTCCACGACAAGGAGTACGCCACGGCGCTGTCGGAGAACCTGTCCAACCCCAGCCACATAATGTCGTTCTCGTTGGTGGTGGCGTTCTGGGTGTCTTGGACTCCCTACATCGGGGTCAAGCTGTACGAGTACTTCACCGGTGTTAAGTTACAAGTGCAATTTTTACATTTTGGGATCGTCTGGTTGGGGTTCCTGAATTCGTTTTGGAAGTCGATGATTCTGATCACGATGAGTCCGCAGTTCCGACTGGCGTTGAGGATCTTCTGCATGACGATCTGCTGCAGATACAAGGGCCGAATGCAGGCCGAGCTAATAGGGATGGAAGCAGATGACTGACTACTCTTTCCCGCCACCGGATGTTTTCCGGGATTCCCCATCACAGGACTCGCGATGCGAGACTACGAGTACCTGGTTGCTAAAATCAGGAGGTACTGGTGGCACTACTCGAGACGCAATCAATTTTACAACCAGTGATTCGGGACTTGATCTATGTGGCTGTAGATACATTGTACAGATTTCAAGTGTTTTGTATTTTAACATTAACAGTCAATTAATATTACTTGTAGGTTTTAATCTCCGTGAGGAACTTGTAGCGATAAATGCAGCTTATTTGGGAAGCTCATAACGATTTTACAATCCCCGTGTATTGGCTGCTTATGTGTAATCAAAAATGAGGCTTAACACCAACTTTTAACGACCGTTGTTCAAACTTTATCGAGATGCAGACCCAAAAAATGTTGGAAAAAGATAGATTATCGCGCGGCACGTTCAAAAACAGGGTAACCAGCTGCAATTACTAAATCAATGAAACACTTTAGGTCTGCATCTGCTTGATCCGCAAACACAATCAAATTTTTTCATTACTAGAAATGCAACGAAGCAAAACACAAAATTATACACCGATTATAAATTGGACGTGATGATTTTAATGTAGTTGTTAAGGATGAGCTTAAAATTAAGCAATCAAAACGTATTGCTAGATCACACATAATAAGTTGCCTTGGATTTTGTACTGATCATCCCTTTAAAAAAAGATTTTACGTCAATACTATGTTAGGTCTAATGTTTCTCAGGCTAAATAGACTTCATGTTTTTAGAGCACAGTTTCTAATACTACCGAACTGTTGAGATATTTATTATGTACAATTGTTAGAATGTTAGACTTCTCATTAGACATATAAACATTCTAATCAATGTAACATTTATTGGACAAAAATAGAATAGGTTGTGTATTTTAATAGTTTTAAAGCTGAAATCTCTCTCTCAGACGCTTTATGTAGATTGATCGATTTAATTAAATACCTATCATTTTTTGCTGTCATTTGTAACAAGATAATTATTTCCCCGGATTCGCAATTTTAACCGTACCGTAGATTTTGCTCAAGTACATAATAATATCTGACACACAACTGTTGCATTAGGCATTAGGCGAAGCGTAAAAACAATCAACTAGTGTGTCCTTTAAAAAAAACTACTATCAAACAAGTGATATTGTCACAACACTTAAAAATTACGTTGTGTTTTTACGTGTCTATAGCCGATTTCTGTTAATCACACAGAATCTCAAAAAATTCATATAAAATTTAATAAGTTCTTTCTGTGTGTCGCAAGATCGGGGCGTAGTAACAAAACGGGAATGTTCTAGTGTACGATATCATCTTTGCAATTTCTGTGCGTGGCTTTTGTCTAATTTCGATGTCTACGAAATCTCATCATTCTGCGAATGCTTATCAACGTTTAGGTTAGTGTTGTTATAGCCGTGCATTGCATTATTCTATTATTAGTGATGTATCCAGTCGGGTATTCCCTGCTGAATCCATGGTGCAGGCGGCGCATGTTTCCATATGGCCTACTCATCAAGTTGGCGCGCACTTGCTGAAGCAAGTCGCTTGCTTTTGTACAGAGCTACTACATCTTGTCGGTAATCAGTATCCATGTGTTATGATATATACGATTTGTTGTTAATTTTTAATTCGATTAGCTGTTGTCCAGACAAATATCGAGACATCAATAAACGTTGTTTATATATTCTGTATATATCTACTAAGGGAACGGAGGCGATCAAATCCCGCTGATTTTCCCTTGTGGTGGTCATCTGGTTTTAAGACAAATCGGAATCGAGCGCCACTTGCACATAAAACATAAGAAGCACAAGAAAATCAAGATGGTCACCACATTGGAGTAATTTTGCGAGATTTGATACCAAGTATCAACAGTCCAGTCAAATAAACAAGATCGTGAAAGAAAAATCAAATAATAAATTATTATAGAAATTATTGTTGAGAGCGTTAATTTGCCTGGATTGTAAAATGTAAATTAAGGGTGCACATAAAGGTATCTGCTTTATTTTATGCAGTATGCAGTATTAAATTGTCCTTTTTGTCCATAAATCACTCAGTGGTATCGAGATCACTGCTATTGGGCTTTCGGGCTCAAAAAAGTGGATTGTTGCAACCTTCGTCCACATTCCAGAGGGAGGCATTCGTACAAGAAGACTGACGTAGCGTAATTGTTTTAACTTGAATAGTCCTGCATAAAATAAAGCTATTTTCTAACAATGAATATGGCCAATTATATACTTTTAGATATAATTCTTTTCACGATATAAGTGTGCTTTATAATAAAAACTAATTACTAGTAGTTACGTGAAGGTTATCTAGTAGTTAACTAAGAAAAGAAATTACGATATGTTACAGAAGGAGTGAGTTTTTAAGTATAAATAAAAATGTAAAATATTTGTTACGCTCACAACAGTCTAATTTTGTACGTAGTCCGCTAGTTTTATACCATAGTTTTGTAATGTAAATGTAAGTATTGACTTATTAAAAGGTGTTCACATGTTGTGTAATAGCTTAAATTTAAATATTTTAAAATAAAAATTGTTTTGAAAGTTAAGCGCATTTATTTATTCAACATCAGGCTTTGTAATTCATTTATCGCCAACAGCACCATTTTAATATTAACTTTAACATGCACTGCTAAATTCCTGTAATGCTCAATGTCTTTTTTCAAACTCCTCATTCTGATATCCGAATACTTGTCAGCCTCATCACAGTCCATCTCCAACAAACAGCCGAGTCCAATGTTCACAAAGGTCCGTTCATAATCCGAAACTTCACCAGTCACATGAACACCACAGCCTAAACCCACGCGGACAACCATGTCACGGTCTTTCTCCTTGAATTCGTTTATTGTTTTTGTCACCTGCTTCACTTCCTCCCATTCTTTGTATTTTTTCACTTTATCCTTGAGGATCTTTTGCACCTCCGCTAGGTCTCTCTTCAAAGTATCTTCAAGAAAAGTCTCATACTCCCTTATTTTTTTGTTCATCTCCTCGGGGTTTATCATCTTGAATGCATGGCTTTGACAGGAGGTTTTGAGGTTATGTAAGTACACAAATCGCTTATTCTAAACACTCTAAACCATTTTATGCAGATTTGCTACATAATCAGTGGCACTTGAAAAGGTGTATAATTATTGTTATTATTATTATAAAATTAATTATTATAAAATTTTACCGGTTTTATTTTTGTTCTGGATCTGTCTTCTGACATCTGTCAAAATTCTACCTGTCAAAAATCTGTGCTGTCAATAGAGAAATTTAAATTTCCCCTGTCAAACAATAGGGAAATTGAAAAATGATTCGATTAGTTTTAATTGTACCTAAATTCTAAATAAAAGCATTGTTTCCCGCAGTCATGTTTTTGTATTTTAAAAATTTGCAACCTGCAGCAACCACTACTATACAGAGTGAATCAAGTAGGAGTATACAGAATTTTTTTTATTGAATAATTTATTTATAATATTGTACAGTTGGTTGCAATAAAAACGGAAAATAGAATTTTCTTTAGATTGAAACAGGTTTTACCCTTGTTAATTTAGTTGGCAATTTGTCATCTGTCGCATTCAAATACCTATAACAATGCCGCACTTTAATGGCGAGAACATCAAAGACAAATCAAGATAATCAATTAGTTGAGTATTCTATTTACGTGAAAACCCAATGAGTAGTGAAAATCTGACATTTTTATGATTTGACATTTTCCGATTTTTTTGCAACCAAGTGTACTTCTATAATCGATTCTAAATTTTAAAAGCGTTAATTTTTGTATACAGAATGCGCCAGAATTCGCGCCCCACAGAAAATTTTCAAGTAAAGTAAGATATCAGGAACATGAAAAAAATGTTTAAAAAATTCTATCTTGCAAAAAATTTTGACATTTATTTTTTGACATTTGACATTTTTTTTATATCTATTTAAAGAGATGTGATCTTGTATATGTTTTTTTTACAAACATTTAGTAAAGGGACAAAAATTTTGGCAATAAAAGCCACAAATAACATTGAACAGAGTTACAACTTAGGATACAGCTTTCTTGTTTCCTCTTTTAATAGCCTATAGCAAAAAAACTTGGAAAATTATTGTTCCAACAGAAATAAATAGAGTCAAAGTGCAAACTTTAAACCCTTATAACTTCGAAATTTTTATACATAAAATTTTTTTAACATTTTTTTCATGTTCCTGGTATCTTACCTTATACGTCATTTTTCTCTGGGGCGCGAGTTCTGGCGCACCCTGTATACAGAAAAAAGAAAAGGAAAAAATAGTTTTTTGTTTTGTTATTTTTTAGGATATCATATAAAATCTTATTTATGCTTTTTATTACGATATGAAATTTTTTGTAATATTTCTGGCCTTATGATTAAATTATTTTAGATTTATTTTTTTCAATTTAAAGGATAACATTTTTCAAATAATGAAAAGTTATAATTATAAAAAAGGGTACATAATAATTTAATCATGATTAAAAATTGTTTTACGTGCAATATTTTTATTATTAAAAATACAAAACTAAACAAAAAAATGATGATTTTCAGATATGATATAAAAAAACCTAAATGGATAAAATTTTTTAGTAGTAATTGCAAAAAATATAAAGATTGATAAATTGTTATTATTTATTTAATGTTGTATCTTTCCTTTAGGGGCAATAACATATACCAAAGCAAGTACAAAAAATGATACAACGTGTAGTGTGAACGTGACCAGTGTCTTTTACTCTGCTGTTCACAGTCCGCATTAGTAGTGATTAGTAGTGCTATTTATAACTTAATGCATTTATTTTTTTGCAACACGTGTTTTGCATTTTTGCCTGAATATACAAAAAATAAATCTTGTCTAAAATTTTTACGGTCTTTATTGCATCTAAATAAAAAATATATATTATTCCCATAGTAACAAAAGTTTACAACCCAATACGGAAGTCTATTGTACAACGACCCGATTTACTGATTAATTTGCAATTATCTAAAATAAAGTTTTGTGTGATCATTCGATAAATCACTCTGTAAATAATTATTTATCTTCCCCTTCCAGTCCCAGTCATTTGCTTTATTTATGCGAATACATATTTTCAAAATATTCAGGCAACCAGTTAAAAGTTTGCGTTTGATTAATAAACTCTAATCCGATAAAATTTTCCAAATTGTTTGTAAGGTGCGCAACACGTTATTATGGAAAATGCTCGGTATGTGTAATGCGCAGAGTGCGATCACCTTCCCATTGACGTGACGTATGACGTTCGAGAAGATTTCACAACATTGTTGTGATGTCTGGTGGTGCTTCATGATGTGATGTTCTGTTGTAGATTACCTAAGGTAAGTGCCATCCACACACCCTCGCCTTCAACTCAGCCCCCACGCCCCTTAAAGCCCCCAAACTGGCCGTTTTCGCGACCTTTTCACCTTCGAACCTGCCACATTGGCACAGAAAGTGTCATCACCTGATTTTGACAAGTGATGATGCGAGCACAAAGGTGATTTTGCATTTCAGAATGCCAATTCAGGCTCCACAGTGGACGGAGTTCCTGTCTTGTCCAGTATGTTGCAATGCATTTGACGTCGCCCTCCGTAGTCCCATCAGCCTGGGCTGCGGCCACACAGTATGCAAAGCTTGCCTGTCCAACCTCCACCGCAAACAATGCCCTTTCGACCAAACCACTATCAGCATAGACATCGAGAGTTTGCCCGTCAACACGGCCCTCCTCCAACTGGTCGGCCCCATCATCAAGAAGGACGATGAGACCGTCGACCACAAGGTTGTCTCCAGAGACAACCTCGCCTACTACCAGGACTCGCGGAAGTGCGTCGAGGAGCTTGCCATGTACTTGAAGCCCCATCCCAATGGAAACGTGTGTGGCAGCGGGAGCATCCTCTCCAGACCCATGCAGAGGAAATTAGTCACTTTAATCAACTGCCAGCTGGTTGAAGACGAGGGGCGCACCAGGGCTATGAGGGCCGCCAGGTCGCTAGGAGAGCGCACCGTGACTGAGCTTATTTTGCAACACCAGAACCCCCAGCAGCTCTCCGCCAACTTGTGGGCTGCTGTGAGGGCCAGGGGTTGTCAATTTTTGGGACCAGGTAGGGGCTTTCGAAACTAGATTGTTATAAACAAAGTGGGCGTGTTGTAGCTGTCAAATATTAACATTTGTTTTGACAGTTAACCATTTTGGCATTTATTTACATAGTAATAAAGATAAAAAAACACAATTTTAGTTTTGTAGCTTTATTGTGCATTCATTTGAAATTTATATGCCCATTTTGACATCTTTTGTTCATATGTGATTCAAGCAGAAGTATGACTTTGAAATGACTTTGATAAACGGTTTTACATAATTATTTCTAACGTAAAACACAGAATTATAAAGGGTTTCAGATGATATATGTATTTATGATAAAAAGAAGTAAACACGAAAGTAAAAAAAAAACGAATATAATGCAATACATAATAAGGATGTGATGATAAACCTATTATTTCAATAGTGTAAAAAAATTATCGCGAATGACCCCAAAGTATAATAAATGTCGACTTTTATCGCCATTTCTGGCATTAAATTTCATGACAGTTCAGTTTCTGCAAAGATTTATGAATTATTTAAGATTGAAATGATTCATAGTTTTTTTAGTCAAAATTAACAAATTAAATGAAATAATTAGGAATAATAAAAAATAAAATATCTAGATAAAAATTGTAGTAATAGTAAACTATATGAAATAATGTTATTACTACAAACTAAAATTATCTTCTAGTTAATATTATGCAAACTTGACATTCCTATGAGTGATGTTAGAAAATATATCATATTGTATTTTATAAATATGTAATTCCTTATTTATTAATTAAATTAAAAAAAAAACGTTTGTCATCACTTGTGTATTAATAGGATTTTTTGGTCATTTTAAGTTTTTGTTTCATTTTGTATTTATAATCGTGTTGTACTATACAACTTTCTTGTTTTGTCCGTATTTTTGACCTGAGTTATTTAAAATGAATTTTTTGAGTTTGCATTCAAGAGGTTAAAATTAAGCATTGAATGTAAATGTAAGTGACCAACTTTTAATTTGTCAGCTATTTGACATTTGATTAGTCAAAACATGTTTTTTTTAACCTGGCATTTTTTATTTTGTTTAAATGAAAACTACCATACTTTCAATAATTAAATTTCCTAGCTTATGACTTCGAAATTAAGTTGGCGGCACTGACTATCAAATTCAAACGTTAATTATGATTCTCTGTATATGTTTTATTTGTTTATTTTACAGCTATGCAAGAAGAGGTGCTAAAACTAGTCCTTTTGGCTTTGGAGGACGGCTCAGCTTTATCCCGAAAAGTGTTAGTAATGTTTGTGGTGCAGCGTTTGGAACCCCATTTTCCTCAAGCCTCTAAGACCAGCATAGGCCACGTGGTCCAGCTTCTATACAGGGCATCCTGTTTCAAAGTATGAATTTAACACAATTATTTTGTTCTACTTAAGACGATAAAATTTTAGGTTTCTAAACGCGAAGGGGACTCCTCTTTGATGCAACTGAAGGAGGAATTCCGCACTTACGAAGCCCTTCGTCGCGAACATGATGCTCAAATTGTACAAATCGCCACAGAGGCCGGTTTGAGAATCGCCCCCGATCAGTGGTCAGCTCTCCTGTATGGGGACACGGCTCATAAATCTCACATGCAAAGCATCATTGACAAGTTGCAAACTCCTCAATCTTTCGCTCAATCGGTGCAAGAATTAGTGATCGCGTTGCAAAGGACGGGGGATCCCGGGAAGTTGTCAGTTTTGAGAACTCCTCTGGAATTGTTAGCAGCGATTGATCCTAGTCCTGGTAAGTTTTTAGTTTGTTTCTACGTGTTAATGAAATCATTTGAGGCTCTTTAACGATGGAAGATTCCGCGAGATGTTTATTGTTGTCTGTGATTTTCCGCGATTTCTCAATATAAAATAATCGTAGAATTATAACAAACGATTTTGTCATTGATTTGATCTGGGCGGTTTTGTAGATTATTTGGATATCTTTTTAAGAATTATCGATTATTATTGTAAAAACGTTTGATTTAACGATAATTTTTCTTGATTAGGTGAATTACAATAAGTAAAATACGTTTTTCCCGGGGTTTCTTATCACGACACGTTTTCAATTTATGGAATTTATTTTTAGAGATATCAATAAAAATAATTACAAAGTTCATGCATTTTTGTTTAACAAGGTTTATATTAGAGAGAAAAAATAAAAAAAACTTGGAAT